AATGTGTAAATGCAACTCAGACATCAAAACAAAGTGGGAAAAAACTGTACAGCCTAGGAGCCATTTAACACCTAACCTGCTGAAACTCTTCACTTGACTCTGGGAATCTTATGGGGTGGAAAAAAATAAATACCAGAATCAAACACTGTCTTTGCTGCTAAAGCTGCAGTGCACAGAGAAGATACCACTGGGGGGTGTGTGTGTGTCACACTTTTGTAATTAAATAATTCAGTGAAAAGCTAATTTACTGCCTTTCCCATTCCCTTACCCTAATTAAAATATCCTATGAGATTCTAACAACCAGTATAAACCATGGGTAAATGATCATGATTCAACTCTTTAAACAAAATAGCTTACCCATTGCTAACACTGTTTCTCTAGTGCAACATCACCACTTTATGCTGTTTTTCATACCTGGCATAAGCACTGTGTATGAAGTTAATCCACCAACACTTTGTGGGGAAACAAATCCTAACATATGCAAAAGTCTATAGGTCCTGAATGACAGAACTTTTGGATTTAAAAGATTTCTGTCACATCAGATGTGTATGGAACACTTGCCATCACCAAATTAGAATCATAGAATCATTTAAGTTGGAAAAGACCCTTAAGATCATCAAGTCCAAGAGCTAGTTTGAAATCAAAGGCAGCATTCACAAGGAGTTACTGTGTCCAACAGCACCCTCAAGAAAGAAGACACAAGTATGCGACCTTAGGTCTGTAACCATTTCCCCCTGCTGAAGGGAGGGATTTAGGTGAGTAATGTCCTCCAGAAGGAACACGGGCTGACCCATTTCGCCACAGTGCTGCATGCTGGCAATCCCTAGAAAGTTTCAGCTGTCGTACACCAGCTCACACAGCATCATAGTTAAAGCCCCCCTTGCCATCCTCTGTTCTCCACAGCACCAGGCTCCTGTCATATCAGGTCTTTCATGATACGTTCTAGCTGATCAACCAGAGCTGCTGCACGCTGTCACCAACACTCTCTAGACCAGCTTCTGGAAGAAGACAGTGCAGGAGATACCCAAAGGAAGTTTTATCACCAGCAGCAGCAACCTGGAGAGTTGACTCATTAAAGAGACATCCCTTCATAAGGGCTGAACATTGGTATTGTAAAAATGTTGTACCATTATTTAGCTGCTCTCAAATTTGACAGGTTCTCAGGTCTCATAATTTAAGGAAGAATTCACCTGGGCAGAAGACAAGTGTTGAAATGTTATGGTTATTTTGCAAAGCAGCCATTCCACCTCAATGCCACAGCTTCCTTTTGTAAGTAAGAACACAGACTGCTCCTCCAGCTCATGTCACAAAGCCAATTGCCTTATAAAACAGAAGGCTGCGATTTTAAAGTCCTCCTCCTGTGGATGCAAAATTGTCTCAGGTGTTAAGTCACCTTTTCCCAAAGAAAGCAGGTAGATGCCAGCTGCTGCCCACTCCAACAGCAGGCGCTATAGCCAGCCCCCGCCTAGCCTCATGCTCTGCACACGTAAGGTTATTCTGCACAGAACTGTTACAGAAACGGTGTGCAGCAAAGTATGACCAGCAACTGCCTAGGTGTCTAATCAACTCGGCAGTATTTAAAGGGTGATATACTTCAATTCAGCGTCCTCGGTGATGATGAATCATGTCTTATTGGGTCAGCTGCAATTCTTTTCAGCAATACACTTTAACAAAGGTCCTCGAACAAAAAAACCCTGATTTTTGATAGCTTCTACAACAACAGGCTGCTCCTTCCACTATCAGACATGAGGTAAGCATGCCTCCTCTTATTTAAAAATCTAGCAGAGAACTAAATCAACGACAGAAAGATTTACCCCTAAGGTAAGAAAGTGAAGGACAATAAGCACTCTTACTAAGTTAACCGAGAATACATTTCCACTTCATAGGTACAAGCCCAACAAGAACTGCTCTGTGATCAAATGGATTTCTTGCCCCAACAATCTACTAGCTTCAGTCGTGCTATTCAAACACGACTGCTGGAACACATTCAGTAAGACTAACTTCAAGCTTTAACACTCCAGTCAGAATCTACTGCACACTATGACAAGCCTGAAATCTCAAGTTCCATATTTTTCTAGGTAAACAAGCTTTCAGAAATCATCTCCTGTATAGAAACATTTTAAAAGGCCAAATCAAAACTAGGAAAATAAACTTGTATTAAATAATTTACTTGTAAAAAGAGGTAAACTCCTGTAGACAAAATTTGGTGTGTTATAATTTCATATCTTTTTAAATGAGTGTTGTGTTCATATCCCATCTGCACAATGTGATTTTCCAAGAAGCAATTTTATTCACATTTAAGTTTCATTCAGAGCAAGTTTTAGCCCATCTTAGAAAATTAAATTTATGGAAAACAGATGTACTCAAAGGTGTCAGGAATTATTCACCAGACTCTGCAAACAAACTAATTTAGACTCCCCAAACATCCAACTCTCAGGTCCATCTTAACATGACAACTGTAGCTTCCAAAATTCTATTCAATAAAGCCTTAGACAAGCAAAAAATAATAAATAAGGCAGTAAGGTGTAGTTTATGTGATTAGTCACAAACACTTAGACAGCTGCCTGAGATTATTGCAAACACAGTGTATACGTGAATTAAAAAAAATTGTTTAGTACTGATAAGTGTAACAATGTAACAAACCATGCAAAACGTAATTTCCTAGTAATGAAGGTTATCTAGTGTTTTAGAAGTGGTATCTTGAGCAGGAGTTATCTTGCCCTAATGCATCTCTTCAGCTTTGAGATGAGAAGCAATTCAGGCAAATTCCTAATGTTCTGCAGTTCCACAGCAGATGGGAAGGCTGTGTGAAAAACAACAGCCATTTTAACAATCATTTGCAGTTGTCTGTCTGAAATCTCTCCTAAGATATTAGCAAGCAGCAAATGAGCAAACAGCATTCAAGAAGTTCAGCTAACAAAGGTACTTTTCTCCATCCCTAAAATGGCATACCGTAATACAACGTTAGCCTACAAAGCCCACTACGCTGAAAACTAAGTGCCACATACCAAATCACAGATGCCACTCTTTGAACTTCAACCCAGATATTCAGGTTGCTCTTAAAGCACACAGCAATTGGGTGTTTCCTCAGAGTGCTACCCCTCCACCCAGGATCATAATTACATCCTATTAAAAACCAACTTTTTATGGCAATTAAGCAGTTCAGTTGTCAGAGGCACCAAAAGCCCCAGTAGCTTGTGAAAAAAGGCCTCCCTTGATCAGATTTAGATTTGCTCTTCTCTGCATCACCCAGAAAAGAAGCAGCAAACAAGAGCTTCTCTAAGCTTCACAGTAATTGATGATGCACAGAATCTGCCAGGAAACCCAGACCTATGAACACACTAACAATGAATAGGACAAGTTACCTAAATTGAAAGTTTGAAGTTTTGGCCATGGGGTTTGGGGAGTTTTTTATTTATTTTATTTTATTTTTAAAGCAGTATTCTACCTATTTCTCAACCCAGGTAATGGTCTGTACAGCAAAGATTAATTTGCCACATGTAGTCTGCATTCCCAGGATCCAACCTCCACTCTGAACAGAGGAAAGAGGCAAATTAATTAGGAATATCCTAGCTGCATCAATCCTCGTCTTCCTCGCAGTTCCTGTCAGGTAGTTCTGGAACAGTAAAGCTCTCCTCCACTTCGCCAAGGGCTGCAGAAGACTCAGTGTCCATCGCGTTCCTCCCCCAAAATTGTATATTAGTTGAAGCAAGCATTCCTCTGAACAAACAGGAAAGCTCTGGGATGCAGCCATGCCTTCCTATCATGGAGCTAAACACCCCTTGGCAACACGATTTTTCCATAAACACTGACCCTTTCAACTCTGGGGACAAACTAGGATTTCCCCTTTCAGGAGGAATCCAAAGAGGCTTTGATTGCAACTTGCAGGTTCACCCCATATACGCACAAGTTATTCTAGCAATGGTATCAAGCAAGCAAAACCCCACAACAGTGAGCATGTCTTTAGCTTAAAGCTTCCGACTTCTTCAACTCTTCCGAAAGCAGAGGTCATTTGGCAATAAATGAAAGGAACTGCAGAATCTATTCAAGAAGCGGTGTTTTTTGCCCTTCCTTTTCACAAACTTCATGCATATTTTGAATGTGAGAGAGGTGTATTCTTTGGCAGTTGCCTTCTGGACTCCCAAAGAATCGAGCAGACCATAGGACCATCTCCCTTGCTCCACCCACAAACCCTCAACTACAGAAAAAAAAAAAAAAAAAAGAAAAAAAGGGTGGGGAGGATGTAGTGATCCTATATAGTTGCCCAATGCTACCAGGGGAAGACGTATATCCTATATAGTTTGCTAAATACTATGAGGGCAACATATATACAAGACAGTTAAAAGTTAAAGAAAGCTTAAAACTAGCTGGCAGGAAGACAAACTTTCTGTACTCGCCATTGGTTTGCCTGACACCAGCTGACTGTTCCAGTAGACCTTCACACCAGCAGCAAAGCAGCTGAAATTCATCCCTGATGCAACTCCAGCGAGACTAATAGGTTTCCACACGAATGAATCAGGCCCTGTATATCTAAAACCAAACCCACTAAAGTTTCACTGAAGCGAAATTGCAGGAGTACAATCTACGGATAACAGCTGGAGAACATTAACTCTCCCCCTCCTTTCCTGGGGTTAATTTTTTTTTTTTTTTCTGTTCAGACAGGAAGCAGTCATATACCATACTGCATAATATAAGGATCCTGGGATAGAAAGACAAGTAGAAAAGGATTACAAAGAGCGCTCTAAAAGTTTTTAGCAAAGTTCCGCTACCATAACCCCTTGGAGCTGCCTCCGCGTTTTAAGCCACGCCGCTGCCCCGACATCCTGAATTGAGACAGCAGTTACCTCCCACCTATTAAAATAAACATAATTAAGGGTATTTTAAGGGTCTCAGCACAGCGGGAGCCCGAGGGATGTGTTCTGGTTCCCGGTCTGGGGC